GACTGCAATTTTGGGCGGGCGCCATTGTAACTGTATCTTTCCTCTTGCACTTCGTCTCTCCCGCCCTCCCTCTCTTTCTTTTGCTGAAGTTTTGTAAGTCGCGGCTTGCATGCTCGGATCGATGCGTGGAGAAGGGTTACGTCCCCCACGCCGCGGCCGATTATGTAGAACGCAGGCGTTCCCTTTCTAATCCTCACTCTAAGTCCTGGTAATTCTGCGTTTTTCACGCATGCATGCACGCTATAAATTTCGGCTGCGCGATTAGTCAGCTCTCTTGACCTGTTGTTGGCAGCTCGGGGTTGCGCGATCAGGAAGGGTCGGCACACGAGCAAAGTAAGAGGTGAGTAGAGTAGGAGTTGGGCGGCCCGACGAGCTGGTGCCGAACGCGCGGGATTGACGTGGGCCATGACGGACTATGGGCACGGGCGAATCCGACGGGTGCGGGAGGACTAAGTGGGGTGACAACTTCGTGGGTGGGTGTGTGATGACGGACTGTCCGCATCGAAGAGAGAGGGAGAAGGAGAGAGAGTTGAGGTCGATGGACGTGGGTTTGCTGTTTCTTTGTCTCTTCCCCCTCTTCATCTGTGTACATACATTTTGATTACGGCTCCGGGCGGTTTGCCGTTCTTATTTTCATTTTCAGCTTTCGGGAACCGAGACTTGGGTTTTTGCTCACACTTGTCCCTGCTTTTGTCAATCTCAATATCGCTGAATGTATGGATGTAGGAATGTTATGCTTGCGCATCTACATCACTGTTGAGAATCCCGGTCCTTACCTTTGTTTGTGTCGAACCTTTGCTCACACCTGATGCAGCTGTAAATGGATAAGGATCTGGCACCAATAGCGATTTTGTCCTCGTTCTTGTTTATCTCGCGATGGGGGGGGGGGGGGGGGGTTTATGATATGGTCGCATCTTGCATAATCCGAAGCAATTAAACGATATGGGGATTAACCCCACAAACGCCGCGCGAGAATACGTGTGAACGCGATCCGGGTCGCGCCCTTACACGCATTCCCGTACGTCGATTCGCCCACCCAAGAAGACTTGAGGCGGAACCATCATCCCGTACGAACATACTGAGGCGTCATTGAATCTACCTGTTCTACACGTGTCAGTGCGCAGTGACGATATCCCAACCCGAGCTATCCCATCGACGATGATACCATGACGCGATCTTTGAACTCAGACTCGTCCTATGACCCGGACTATTTCACCCCTATAATAAACGAACTTATAAGGACACGGTACCCTTGTCACACGGACAATCGGCTATGTCCGCGGGAATTCCACTGTGCCACCACTAGCGACCCTCGGTGCTCCGATTTCCCTTCCCCCGACCACACCTACTACTTCACCCACCCGGGATTCGTTGAGATCACCATCAGTTTCCCTCCTTTCCGCCTCCTTTTCCCATATCATCAACTCAGTGTCGTCCCGTGGCCCACCATAGCCCCCTACTGGCCCAATACGTTTTGCGTGAACTGCCGACGTAGCGGCGGACAGAGAACTCCGGAATTCCGAAGGCCCAACCCGGGCGCGCGGCGACCTGCGCCACGTGGCGGCCCTCGACGGCCTAACTTTTCAGGACCACCCCCACCACGAAGGGACTTCCCCGTAACCCGTCACCCACCGTGCCCCGGCCCCCACCAGACCGTGAGTACCTTGCGCATGCACCCCTGACTCGCCTAATTGCATTCATACCCTTAAGACTCCCCCACTTTCCCCAAAAATCCTTGGCACACCCCTTTTTGCGCTTCCAGGCCCACATCCCACTCCGATCAGGAAGTCGCGCCGGGCGTGAGGTTGGCATCGGAGCCCGACACGTGGCTAGGGTCTTAGGATTGATAGCACGTTAATTAGCCGACCTGGCTAACCGTGGGTGACCTCGCCCTCGGAACGCGTATAGACGCGACCCTATCATCACCAGAAGCAGAGTGGCTAACCGACGAACAGCCAATATGGCTGCCAACGTGCAAATTCCGGCTCCGCAACAAAATGCTAATCTACCTAATCAACCTGCCCCACATGCACGAGCTCCCATGTCGCCACCAGATCTCTATCTATTCGATCCGGTGCACCCTCTCGCAGGAGCATGGCTGGCCACGCTTAGAGCACAGCAGTACGATGATCACGAAGCGCAGATCAACATTCCGGCTCGAATGGGAGGAGACGCTCATCATTGGTATAGTACCTATGTATGGGTGGATCTCCCGACCTTCGAACGGGATTCCATAAACCGATTTTATTATGTTCACCCCGAGCAGGCATTGTACATGATCAAGGACCGAGTGCAAAAACCACTCGAATCCGTTGCGGAATATCGAAACCGGTTCTACAGGATGTTCGTGAAAACAAAGCGAGGTGAGCAAGTAGGGAGGGATCTGTTCATTAACGGACTCCGCAGTCGAACAATAAGGACTAAGTTACGAAATCAGTTTTCTCCTATTACTCATACTCTACAACAAATTATGGCTTCCGCGGAAGAAATGGAACGGAAGTTCGCAGCGAACTTCCTGGAAGGAGAAAACTACCCTAGAGACGGAGATTTGACCGAGCTCGTATGGGCAAGAGCAGAACTGGCTGCTTCACAGAATAAATTTGAAAACATGGGATTTGTATCAGGACCTGTCACCTACATGGAACAAATAGGCCCCAAACGAGTAATTCTAAGCGAGACTCCGAGCATCTCTGGTCCTATGATGCCCCTACCCGTCAGGGCATTACCCCCACCGCCGGTTGAGGCTCCTGTACGATCAAACGAATCGGCGGCCATTTTCGAACTAACCAAAACGTTGATTAGTTTGATCCAAGAAAGCAAAAAGGAACAGCGAGAGCACAATGCTCGGCTCGAAGCCATGATGAGGAACATGCGACCTATCGCGGTGCGTGCCCCTCCAATACAATAAGGATTAGCCCCTGCCTCGGCTCTCGGAGGAGCTGCGAACAATCTGAATGTTTGTTATGCCTGTCATCAGCCCGGACATCTAGCCCATGATTGCCCCCACCGACCCCCGCAACAGCGGATCGGAGTCGCACCTATGGCTGCGGCCCCCATCGCCAGTCGACCTAGATGAGTTGTAGCCTTGATGGAAGAAGTGGAGGGTGGGGGAAGTGCCTTGGCCACCACGGAAGAGGCCGCCGAGCTAATTCCGCTAGATCAGTATGTGTCGCTGGGATATCTTGGACTAGGAATGATCGGAACAATCAGACCAGCACCAGAACCGAAAGAAGTGGCGGAGTGGCGACCGTCCTTAGGAGAAATGGAGTCGGGAGGACCCACCTTCGTCACAGGAGAAATCGATGTATTAAACATTATCCGAGCTTTGGACCATAGGATTCCACCACCGATTGGTCATCTACTCTCGATCTCTGAGCAAGCCAATGAGCGAATGCTACAACATTGCAAAGCAAACCGAAAGCGGTTTGCCCTCGCTCAAACACCAAGTGCCAAAGCCAAGGGCCCCGCGCTGGAAGAAAACCCAACAAGCACTCCGGACCCAATACGGGTGGGATTAATTCAGAAAGATGATCACTTCTTACGGATTAAACCGATTCCGTGGAAGTCCGCGGAATGTGATATTGAAATTTGGGGAGTTCCTTACAACGCGATAATAGATTCAGGAGCCGTTGTGTTGACTATCTCACTGAGAGTGGTCGAAAGGGCCGGTAGGAAAAACGACCTGATCATGCTCACTGAGAAAGATCAACTCGTTTCAGCAGATGAGGAAAATATTAAAACTGTGGGGAGAATGACCAATGTCGCTTTCCGATTAGGTAAAGTACACGCGCTTGGGGATGTCGTAGTACTAGATGTTAATGCGTACGACGTTCTTTTCAGACTTCCCGCTCTTGTGGCATTACGAGCAAACCTGGATTTCGAACGACGATCGATCATCCTTCGAAATACAGGAGGAAAACCCTACGCGGTGCCCATGCGATTGACCCTTCGCACTACTATTAACGTGGTCCCGCGGGTCCCGCCGATGATGGCAGGGACTCTTCGCATGATCTCCTGGGACGGACCCACAGAAGAAAAATCATCTGATGATGCGGAAAGCAGTGACGAAGATGATCCGGAGATCTTGAAATTAGTACGACAACGCGTTTACTACCCACCACCCAAGACGATAGCGAAAACGATGCAACTGACCAGCCGAAAAATTCAAAGGACCAAGACAATGATCTTGGGAGAGCCCCTTGTGCAGATTTCGAGGATGGTCGACTCTTTGGAACCCCCTCTAACTCTGTATGAAGAGATCACCCCTCTCCTCGCCAGGTATAGAGATAAAATGCATTATTGCGACATTACGGAACTACCTAGGTCTTTGCTAACATCGGTTAAAGAAGTGAGGTTGTTACGCTTGGGGGCGGAAGCAAACTCTCTGGAACCCCCTGGGCGTTTTGAAGCAGAAACAAACAGGTTGGGGATAAAGATTGCAACCAAGGAAGTGCCATGGCAGGATGTTTGTGACGGGATTACCCCGACTTGGCAAAACAGGCGCACACGAAACATATCGACGTTCAGATCTGGGACCAACTTTTCGAACTATGCGTTCCACAGTATGTGCCGGATGAAATCCACCAGGTCATTGCGGATATTCTAACTAAATATCGAGAAGCGATTAGCGTGTCAGATACTGACATTGGGTTGTCGTTAGTAATCCAACATGAAATTCAGACAGGAAATCACTCCCCGATTCATTGCAAACCCTATCGCTACTCCCTGATTGAACGGAAAAAGGCTCTCGAACGAATTCGGGAGTTCGAAGCCAGTGGTTGGATTGAACCTGCTACCGAACCTTGGTATTTTCCCGTAGTGTTAGTACCGAAGAAAAACGGAGCGATTCGCATTTGTATTGATTATGGCAAGCTGAATGAAATCACGATTAAAGATGTGTATCCCCTCCCCCGGATTGATGATCTGTTGGATGCGATTGGATGCGCTAATTATTTCAGCAAGTTTGATATTCGGCATGGCTCCCATCATATTCTGGTGAGGGAAGAAGATCGGCCAAAAATGACCTTCGTGTTGTTTGAGGGCACGTGGTAGTGGGTTCGGTGTCCGATGGGGATTTGCAATGCGCCTGCCACGTTTCAGCGAGCGATGAACATGACGTTCCAGAACTTCGTCAACAAGACACTGCTGATGCAGGGGATGATTAACTTTTGTGTGATCGTGTACATGGACGACATCCTGGTCTATTCGAAGACCTATCACGGGCACGCGCAACACATCGAATGGACATTGAGTGCATTAAGAGACGCTGGGTTCAAGATTGCACTTGAGAAGAGTGAATTTTTCCTCTCGGAAATTTTGTTCCTGGGCTATGTCGTGACACGTGGAGGATTGCGGCCAGACTCGAGAAAAGTTGCGGCAGTGAGGGAAGCTCCGGTTCCCACGTCTCTGACGCAGGTTCGAGCCTTCTTGGGGCTGGCGTCGTACTATCGRCGCTTCAYCAAGGGTTTTGCCGCGATTGCACGACCACTAACGAATCTGTTATGGAAAGACCAGCCTCTCAGCTGGGACGCGGAGTGCCAGCAGGCCTTTGCAACCCTCAAGGACGCTCTGGCAACGGCCCCTATTTTGATCCGGCCGGACCCCTCAAAGCAGTTCATCCTCATCACGGACTGGCAACCGGAAGCTATTTCCGCTATTTTAGCCCAGAAGGGGAACGATGGTCGAGAACACGTCATCGAGTACGCGTCACGAACCGTACCGGACGAACGAAGAAACGACTCCGCACCTCAGGGTGAGTGCTATGCAGTGGTTTGGGCAATCCAACACTTCCATCCGTATCTCTACGGGCAAACGTTTCGTCTCGTAACGGATCACGAGCCTCTGCTGGCGCTGAAGAAACTCCCCAACTACACGGGCATGATTGGCCGTTGGGCGGTGCGATTGCAAGAATACGACTTCGATATCGTCCATCGAAAGACAGAGCGACACGGCAACGCGGACGGGCTGACACGTCTGCATCGGTCTGCCAAGGTACCAAAGGGCAAGGAAATTACACCGTGGAAGGAGCCGGACTTGACCCACGAGCCAAAATACGGACAAGTGGCAGTTCTTCCACGTGGCAAGAAGTAAAACGGTGACGATGGGTGATGAAGGTAACCCCACTACCGCTCTCTCTCCCCCTTCCTCTTCGTCTCTCCTCTCCCTGCCCGACAAATTCTGCTATTTTTGCAAAGCTATTTCCCGCGTACATTCGGTCTCCATGTGTCAGAACGGGGAGGGATATGCGGATTGGATAGATTGCCGACAGTGTGTTGCGCGAGCCCATGGTTCGTGCATCCAATACAGAAACGGTAGTAGACCATGGTTGTGTCCCTTGTGCCGGACCAACAAGATTCCTACCAAGGCTCGATTTTTGGATGCCACGTCAGAAGGATTGGAAGAGACCCGAAAGTTTCGAAGGGCCGAAGTATGGACGGATATTGCCTTAATTGCCACCCTAGTAGGTAACCCCCTCCATAATTTCACCAAAGGAGATCGGAGGAGGGCCAACGAAAGAGCTCGGGATTATCGATGGGTAGAGGGTAGATTAGAAAAACGGAAAACGGACGGCAGTGGGATTTGGATGGTAGTGCCGATCCGTTCATGCGGTATGACTGGGTTAAGACAGCCCACGAGGAAACTGCGGCTCATTTTGCTGTGCGAATCACAGAGTCCGCTATCGACAAAAATGAGTGGTATTGGTCCAATATCCGCGACGATGTGAAGTACATCGTTGCCAACTGTCAGGTCTGCGCCGCTGATAAAGCGCCGATTCAGCCGCCAAGATCGATAGTGCCCACGGTTGTTGAACGGTCATTTCAAAGAGTGAGCATGGACACTACCGACATAGTGGTGCCCCCTGGCCCTAATAGTTGCGAGTATTCAGTCCTGCTGGTATTTGTCGACTATTTCTCGAAATGAATCGAAGCGTATCCTTGTCGCACGCGGCAAGTCACGGAAATCGCTCGATATGTCAACCGTTTCCTCTGGATGCATCAGGATACGGAGGAAATCCTAACCGACAATGGGGCTGAATTCAGGGGAGAAGTGTTAAGGAATCTGGTCCTACACGGCGTCGCCATATAAAACACTGCACCTCGCATGTCACAGTCCAACGGGCTGGTCGAAAACGCTAACCGGGTGATAAAGACAGCGTTGTGAAGAAACATCGCGGCACGGGATCCGAGACCTTGGCCCGATATCGTCGATCACATCCTGGCGGTCCATCGCGGAACGCCCCACCAATCGACGGAGCTAAGCCCCTTCCAATTAAGGACCAATAGTGTCGCTTGCGTTTCGATACCGAGCCTCCCGGATGAGACTACATTAACCCAACGGCCCACCAGGACCACGGCTCGGGACAAGGCCAAACAACACCTAGAATTAATGGAACGGTCGCTGCCTAGGCTAACCCGAAAGCGACAGAAAATTACCGAACTAGCCCAGGGCCGACAGGTCCGGAGCTACGAAGCCCGAAATGGGAATGCGGGTCCGCGGCCCCGGTACAAATTGAGGGACGTGGTGCAGGTGAGGAAATGTGCTCGCCAGGGTAAGCTAGCGCCACGATTCTTTGGGCGATATCATGTGATCGAGCTCAGCCCCAACGGCGTGGACACCGTGCGCCTCGCCCCTGAAGTCTCTTGCAGTCGATCGGCTCGTCCGATCACAAGCCACGTGTCCTATCTCCGCCCCCTCCCCTCTGCTCTGACTCCTTCTCCCTCTTTTTTTCTCTCTGAGGAAGCCGAGGACAACGGCTCTGCCTCTCCGGCATCTCCCTCTTCCTCTTGCTCCCTCTCTGCCTCCCCGTCACCATCGCCATCGCCATGAGTTTTCTGGAGGAGAGAGCCCTCAGCGAAGCAGCGCTTGCGTCTCGTGATCGACTGACGATCCGGCAGGTCTATCATCCCTACCTCAGTCCAGACCTTCGACGACTTGCGCACTTCTTCTGCACGGAAGGTGTATACGCGGCGGCGGTGTTTAGAATAGAAGGTCGGCCCAACGCAGTGGTACTGGCCGAGGCAGTAGCGGTTCATCAGCGAGCGGTACCAGGTGTCAACCGCATATCGGTCGTCATCAATTTTCGTGGCGATCTTTCCACACTGCTCCCTTTACGACATTCGGTGGTGAGGACATTGCTGCGCGCGTGGGCAAACGACCTGGTCGCCGAGTGGACCCAGCTTCTGGCTGGCCCCGGGGACACGGTCGCGAAAACACGAGAAATCGAATACGACGGCCTTCGGATGTACGAACGTGATCCGCCGGCAATCCTCCCTGTTGTTGTTCCTTTCCCTCGCCCCCAATGAGTCTTTCTCCGATCTCCATTTTTTATCTCCCCTCCACCTTCCCCACCTTCTGGCAGTCCAATATCCATCCTCGCCTTTCCTACTGCCTAACGACCCTTGCTGTCCCCGTCATTCGTCCCCCATATTGGGACATGTGGCGCAAAGACTTCGTAGAGCTTTCACTGTGCTTGGTCGAAGTACGGCTGACGTGGATCGAGGACGAAGCGCACCCGCCTTGCATAGAGCGGCTGGAGTTGTTGTTTATCCAAGCCTGGCGCACCAACGTGGAGGGAGAGCTCCTCGCATTCTTATTCGGTGCAGTACGGCCCGGCCATCAGGAACTTATCACGCACGAGCTCACGATCCCGGTAGCGCAGCTGGCGGACGGCCTCCCTCTTGACATCATCTCGCAAGACGACGAGCATCCAGTTCCCCATGTCCTTTCCCGCACCTTGACACCTCATCTTCAGTGGTCGGCTTGCGTAGAAGGAGCCGCGGAACGCATCCCGCCGTCGCAGCGACAACATTTGGATCCCCGGGCGATTCGTGACCCTGCCTTCTTCAGGCAGCCTACGGCGGAGCAGCTTGCGGCCATCCACGAGGAGGAAGAGGAGGAAGAAAGCACTGAGAGTGATGACGGGGAAGACGAGCGGGAAGAAAGTGAGGAAGGCGACGAAGTACTCGGGGAAGAAGACGAAACCCCCGAAGAAGGAAGCTATAGCGAGCATAGCCAGGGGGAGCAGAGCGAAGAAGAGGAAGAAGACGAAGAAGGAGAAGAAGGGCACGAAGAAGAATCTGCTGGACCAGAGTGGGAAGCCGTGCCAGAAGACGCATTGCGCACAGGTACAGAGGCAGAAGATCCCGAGGCGGCCCGTAAAGGGGAAGAGATCGCGGCCGGGAAGACGGAGTTAGAACTCGCAGGCGCGGCGAGTCTGCAGATCTGTGACGACCCGAACCGAGATCCGGAGCCGCCCCGACCTGAAGATGGCAACCTCGCGGCCACGACTCCGGCCCCATCGGCATGGCGACGAAGCCAATCCCCCCCCTCCCCAACCCGTCCCTCAGTTCGCCGACGTACCGATACGGGCGATCGGCCTTCGTCCCCGATTACTCTCTCGCCGTCCCCTTGACTACCTCACCCTTCGCCAGCTCACCACCCCCGTCACGTTCCCCTCCAATCCGTTCCCCCTCAGTACCTTCTGCCACTTCTACGTCGCTCGCCTCGCTGTCGTAGTGCATCCCCATCCCTCCCTCCGGTGGGCCGTCCCGGCCTTTTGCCTCCATGTCTTGCTTTTCAGTGTCGTGTGGCGAGGCAACAATATGATTGAGGTTTATTGCGTAATAACGGGGACCATCCCCGCATGCGAAGATCGCGATCGTTTCCGTGCGGCGCTCTTCCGAACCTTCACCACCCTCTACCCCGACTATCTCGCGTCCCTCCCTCGCACTGGCAATCGATTTCCCCGTCTCCACCGCATTGTCCATTACCAAGAACTCCCGGAGACTGCAGTCGGGATGGAAAGGTTCCTGCCCCCACTACCCCTAAGCCCTCCGCCCCGCCATGCCGCCATGTACCAACTCTCTTTCCCCCTCCCAGTTAATTACTGATGCAGCAGGTAATGGACGCGTGTCGCGGCGACGGCACGAGAAAGATCCCGTCCTTGAATTGTCGAGAGCCCAATCTGAGGAGATAGTAGAAGAGCCAAGTTGCCACATTGGATGACGTCCACACGCGATCAAACGGTAAGTGGCATAAAGAGAAGTGCTTCGCGTGTCGATCGATTAGAGAAATCGACACGTGTCAACAAGCAAGCAGGAGCTTGCTAATATTGGAACCCCCTGGGCATCACATATGTGACGAACCACTTTCTGTAACGCGTGAGTTTTTGCGTGGTCTATGTGTCCGAAAGTTGATTCAACGGGGTTTTTGAGTTGAACGGATCAACTCCCGTTAAACCCGCGTTGCAACTCCCCGTTGTACCCCGTTAGACCGGGGTACAACTCGGCCCGCGAAATTTTTTTTCGGCGGCAAAACATCGGTAAAAATATATATATATATATGGGGGTGTATATTGTTTTGCTCTCTACATCCCCATATTTGTTTTAAAATTTTTTGAGCATCTAAATTATTTTTAAAAAATCAAAAACAGAAGCGGACTCAAAACACATAGATTTTTTTTTCCAGTTTTTTTGATTGATTGATTGATTGATTGGTGGGGGATGGGGCGCCCCCCCCACCTCCACCAACTCAGACACACACACACACACAAACCGGGGTACAACTCTCTCTCTCTCTCTCTCTCTCTCTCTCTCTCTCTCTCTCT